TCACCGAATAAACCACCAAGACTTTTGCTGACATTTTGAGTACCCCCATAACCTGAGTACACTATCAAACTCACAGACACTATACGCTTACAAACATCTATGCCTTCTCGGAGATTCGAGCTCGAGCTCAAGGATACAGCGTTCAAGAGGACTAGGTAATATACCGATCAGGGCTAGAACTTTTTTTTTTGATACAGGAATATTCTCTCTATTCAGGGGTATTCAAATGCTGCTTCGCATTTTTTAAATAATTCTTCGAATACTATAGATATCTTTACTAATCGAACAATCCAACTAAATATTATTCCGGCCTTCATGCGACGATAGATCCTTTTTTACTGTGCAATGAAGAAAAAAAATGTATGTAGCTTATTATCAAACTTAAAGAGCAAGTATATCTGTCCATTTTTTTATACACACGCTTATTTATTGCGAGATGTTGCAGAGTTAATTGTAGAAGGTCAGCGCAAACTTTCCGATGAAAGTTTCTTTTCTGATGTTTTCAGTTTCGTAACTATTACTGATGCCCATTATTTGGCTCAATATCTTTTAATTACCTATTAATTCAATGCTCTGAATTTAAAATTATGATCAACAAAAAGTATATGTCTCGTTTTTGTATATTGGTTTTTTATGATTTCAGTTTATTATGAAATATCAAAAATATAAGCCTATAGATTTAAGTAGGCTCTTGTATTTACAGATAAAAGAGAGGAAATTGAAAAATTTTATATTGATTGTAAACTTTGACTAATTAAAAATGCAAATGAGACCAAATTAATACAATTAAATTACTTATCGATTTACTAATTAAGTTTATAAATAAAATGTGAAGAAATTATTTCTTCTGTCGCTTTTCATCATGAAAACGAAACTTAATTACTACCGTACATTTTTTAAAAATTCTAAAAGTGTACGGTAGCTTAATTATATCCTTCTTCATGAGAGTGTGAGACAGCAGCCCAGTTTGGGAGAAAGTTGTAAAATAAAATGTGAAGAAATTATTTCTTCTGTTGCTTTTCATCATGAAAACGAAACTTAATTACTACCGTACATTTTTTAAAAATTCTAAAAGTGTACGGTAGCTTAATTATATCCTTCTCCATCAGAGTGTGAGACAGCAGCCCAGTTTGGGAGAAAGTTGTAAAATAAAATGTGAAGAAATTATTTCTTCTGTCGCTTTTCATCATGAAAACGAAACTTAATTACTACCGTACATTTTTTAAAAATTCTAAAAGTGTACGGTAGCTTAATTATATCCTTCTCCATGAGAGTGTGAGACAGCAGCCCAGTTTGGGAGAAAGTTGTAAAAAACTAAAATACGAAGTTTAAAATTTTCTTACTATTTCTAAGATTCGAATTTTACGTACCAAAACCACGAACTAGAAAATGGGTTTGAAGTTTTCTTTATTGTAGACTAGCCTTCGTCTCGCTTTTAAATGTACCAGAAAAATGCCTAAAGGAAACACCAAACATTAAATTTAAAAACTGCACAGAATTTGACATTGCAGAACAACTTTATCAAAGAAAAGAACAACGATAAAAAAAGAAAAAAACAGAAATTTCAATAAAAATATATTATATATATAAAAAATACAATGAAATAAGCAACATCCCTTAACACAAATATTAATTATCCTAATAAATAAATTAACCTATTTCCTGTTGCAAAATCTTAAGAATTCAAATAGTAAAATGAAGTTAAGAACTTTGTTTCCTAAAAAAAAAATAATAAATAAAAAAAAAAAAATAAATAAAAATCATGCAAAACTTTTTATATAATTAAAATTATATGTAATTAAAACATAGTATAAAAAAAATTACAATGAAATAAGCAATAAATCTCATATTTTCAAGAGTAAACAGTATCTAAAGCAATGAATGAAAAACTGTTGCTATAACCACATTTCTAAAAGAATGAAACTATCATTTGAAAGTAATAACCAAACAAAATTTTGCTTTGTGGATGACATAATTCAAAATATACAATAAATAATAAAAAGATAAAATAATAAAGAAGAGATAATAATAAAGAGAGAGGGGGGAGGGAAATTCTTTCTGTTTTGCCTCGCGAGACACATACCCGTCAGAATAAGAAGATTGTGATTTGCGTGTTGCGTGTAAAATTAACAATATTTTATCTCATATTTTCAACAGTCAGCAGTCCAGTATACAAAGCATTGAATGAAAAACAGTTGCCAAAACCACATTTCTAAAAAAATGGAACAATTCAAAATGATGTGATTTCATCAAAAAAGATAAAGTAAAAAAAAATCTGATTCGAATTTTGAAAAAATCGCTTCGAGGTGCACTGGATGCACCTATGTACCAAATTTCGTAGTCCTGGGTCTATTAGCTTACGCGCAGCCTGAACGAAAGGCCATACACACAGACTCTTTCTTTTATTATATGTAGAGATGACATATAAAGTTGAAAAAGTTGAAGACATAGGACTCATGCTCCATCTGTCCTTTCATAAATTAGGCTCTGGTTTCCAGACTATTATTTTTCTGCCTTCCTCGTTAAATAGAGATTCGACGTACTGTATGCGAAATTCGATCCATCACAGTTGTAGCACTTTCACCAATTCACGTGCATGATTAACATTTTAGTTGAAGGATCGCTGGTTGTCATGTAGCGATCCATCTTTTACCGTATTTCAGAAATTATTACGATAGTAACTTGTATCGACGATAGTAACTTGTATATTTTAGTGACTTTATTTATGATGCATCAGTTATTAGTGAATTTGAATATGTTTACTTGGTTGCAATTTTGGAGTCCGAGGAAAGTGTATAACAATACATAAATTGTATAACAATTTATTATTTTATTATTCATTGTGCTATTTTATCATGAATTAAATAGATAGGATTATGTTTTTACTTGCAAAGCTGATGGACTTTGTTTTACTCATCTAGTATGTTATCATCTAATTTTACTATTCTGTTTACATAAAATAACAGCGTTTCACTACTGCAAAGCTTAAAAGTTACTATTCTGTTTACGTTTAAAAATCACACCTTAGTGTTCTCATTGCCGCCAAAAATTTCGCCAAATTTTGAAGGCTAAAATAGTTTGGCTCCAACTTACCCCGCTAATGGAAGATTAGCCAAAATTTCTCTTCCAGGTAAGACCGCATTTTGACATGGAAGACAGACCTTCATGGCGAAAACTAAGGGCTCTGGCACTTCTTTTATATAAATGAAACACAATATTAGAGGGCTAATTTATTTAAAAATAAATAGGCATTAAAAATCGATTATAGCTTCCGAATGATACCTGTCATTCTCGAAAAAAAATGAATGGAAATGAATGAAAATGAATGGGGAAAAACGAATGGAAATGTAAAGACTTTAAGAATAGAAAATTCTCCATCGCTATGTCAAAAGTTTATTTTGCAGGTAGTGAAATGAATTTGTGACAGTGAGTAAAACGTTTTGTTCCGAAAGTACTAAAAGTGTACTAAAAGTGTATCGTCGTCATGCACGACCAGCGCTAGTGACCTTTCGCTTCAAATTTCCTGTTGTCTTGAATTATGCAACCAAACATGGGGGACAAAAATTGTCACTTGTGCAGACCTTACGTTTGTTCTCATGCTGTTATTGGATCGGATTTGGGACAAATTTTTTGCGCAGTCGCAGTCTGCTTGACAGTTAGAATTATATAGGCAGGGCATTGCAGTCAGAAAGCTTAGGGTTCTTCTCTCTCTCTCTCTCTTTTTTTTTTTTTTTTTTTGAAGCTGCACTTCTCCATTAAAATTTCTTTCCATACTCTAACATTATTTGGAGTTTCGAGCATTCTCTCTATTTTTATTAGTGACGTTTTAACTATTTTACTTTTTTCCACCAGTGTTCTGGAAAAAGAATGGGTTTTATTTTATCATCCCTTGAAATAGTACGTTATGTTCTATATTCAGAGCTTAAATTCAGCCGGAGACCGGCTAAGCTATTGCTTAGTTTCCCGAACGAAATTCAAGTCTAGCCGGAGCTCCAAACAAGATGAGGCCCGATATTTCATTTCTTTTATTTAGCTATTCATCGCGAATTTAATACTTTATTAAATTTTTATTTATATCTTTATATTGTATGGAATTTTAATTTAATTATTACTTATTTTTTATTAGTTATTTTATTTATTTAATTTTCCCTTCTTCCTGAAGGCCTTCCATAGAGCTCTGGCACTTCCGATTTTAGAAATTCCCCCCCTGTTTTATAAACAATAAGTACTTTCTTTCAGCTGCATATCATATAGCGACTGCGTGCAACTACTTCAGATCCGCCCAATCAGTTACGTTGTCGGAGAAAAGGAGAGGAAGGCAGAAGTTCCTTTTGCCTGTGTAAAACGTTTTGCCAACATTCACTTTGCCAAGCATTCTCAGTCTCTGTCACGAAAGAAAGAATACACGACAGCACACAAATCGTCATTTTAAATTTCTGATTCTAAATAAAATTTATAATTCATTGCAAAAGGTAGATTTAAAATGATTAATGAATATTTTGTTATGAGATTTAGTTTTAAAGTAATAACTCTTTATTTACAGTTTTGAATTTATAAGCATACGACACGCGTACCACAAAATCTAAGACAATACTCCTAGATTCACTCCGAATCGGACATTTGTTTCTCTTTTTTAACGAACGTATTTCATTATTCAGATGTAAAAGCTTAGTTTATTTTGAAAATTCCTAATCACTAGCTTTTGCTTTGTAACAGTATATGCACCAGAAGCAAAATATTACTTCGAATCAGTAAACACAAGACGTCACGAAACGTTGTATCTCTCAGCGATTCTTGGGATTTCTTGAATGACTTTTATCCCGCAGAAAAAGTTCTAACACTATGGAAGTAAATTATTGACGCCCAAGAAAGAAATTTTGCGTGATGAAGTATTGCAGGAGAGTTAATTTGACTAATTTAGTTGTCTAAATGTCTCTTATTAAAGTTTTTCAGCGCTACCTGTAAAGGCACGTAGCGCATATTATTGGGATTTGATCCGGTTTCAAAGTTATGGTCTATAAGAATCTGGCAACAGGTTTTTTTGTCTGTGGTTATTAAATCCGGTTCTGCCATTTGGTGATTGTGGCGTCTTTGAGCAAGAAGTGGAAGAGAAGCGCTGGGGGGCGAATGAGATTTGTGATTCTTGTAAGTTAATAAATTTGTGTTCATAACCTTACATTTAGTTTTTCTGAAGTGTTAAATTTGTATAATTTATTCATCACATAATTAAAAAAATCGTAATATGTTTAAAAAATTTGCTATTTTTTAAATATTAAAATTTGAAAGATGCTGATTTTCTTTCAGATTTATGCTAAGTTCTTTCTGAATTAAATTGTTAGATATAATATTCTTTAATTCTTGATTTTTTTATGTGTATAATAAGCTAATGAACGCTAGTTTGTTATGCATGTAGATCAGTTCTTAGTTTATGCTAAATTTTTTTGTATTTAATAATTAACCTTTTATCGTTTATTGTAGTGTTTCTGCTTGTATATAATTTATAACGAAATGATTTGGTAATGTTAATGATATTGTATTATCAAAATATTTTGTTTTTGTCTAATTTGATCGGAAATTAAGTTAAATGCAATATCAGAGATAGGTTTATTAGAACTACGTCAAAATGGCGTCGAATTTTACATTATCGGACGCTGGGGGTGAAGGGTATCTGGCCACATCATCATTCATTACCATTTCTGTTTACCTTGGTTCTGCAAACTAAGTTGTTAAAAGCAGAAAAGAATTCATTAGGTATTTTTATGATTAATTTCGATTATGATATTTGAAATTAAAATGTATGTAATTGTAGTTAAATGCCAAATGAAACAAGATGGCGGCCATTTGGCGTCCTGCTTCATCTTGACTAATCAATGACTTGCAAATGGCATCAAACACACTGAATTCGGAAATCAAAATTTCTTTGCTGTAAATTACAAGCAACAATATTTTATTGTTGGAAATTTTAAGCATGATTTATTAAAATATACTAAATGCTTTAGGCGTTTATATTAATAAAGCTTGTAAAAATTTGCGTAATCAGGTCATACGAATTTAAATCTCCAGTTATCTCGATTTAAAAATAATTAATAGTGCTACAGATCCTTTATCTTTGAAAAAATTTTATTGCAACATTTGACTTTTAAATTTCTCATATTGCGCATTTACTTAAAGATTTTGGGAAAAATTTCAAGAAAAATTCAGATTTTGTCAATTTGGTATAGCAACTTATTTCATTTAAATTTACAAAATGTACTGATCATCATTCTGAATTTAACATAGGCTGTGTTTCATTAGTTATTTCCGAGTTCAAACGATAGTAATTTCCCCCCCCCCCCCCTCCAAAAAAAATTGAAGCGAGTTTGAATTAGAATGAATATTCAAAAATTTGTTTTTTAGTAAAAAAGGTCACCAAACTCATGATTAAAGCATTAAGTGTTAAATTTTTAAAAAGTAAAAAAATAATACATCACTCTAGTGTTTTAAAATTAGGCAGTAGATCAGCTAGATTTTTTGAAAGAGAAATGAAAATAGTTCTCTTTTTGCTTTGAGGTTAAATGCAATTTTGTTAAGTTATGAAAAAGAATAGTCAATAAAGTATTAATTTTTTAACTATTGGTATAAAAATGAAAAAGTGTATGGATAAATATTTAATATATAAGAATGCAGCAGTGGGTATATTGCCATACAGCAGTAGTAATGTATCGTGGTGGTTTATTTGCTATTAATATGAATTAATGTAAATAAGAGAAACTATTCTAATTTTACTTAAGATTGTATTTTGAAAGAAGTGTAAGGATTTCTACAATGTTTTAGCTGAGATATGTTTTTGCTTTCATTTCTTTTGCAAAGATCTTACATAAGTAAGTCATAAATTAGAGATTTCGGTCAAAATTTCTTAGATCTGATTTCATTTTTGCAGATAAATCCCCCTCTCTTGAATTCCATAAAATTTTTCAATATTTTCTTACATTCTTTTTAGTGAATTTTCCTAAAAGTTTTGATTGTGCTGTCAGCATTTTCATATTTTCAGTTATTCTGTCATTGGTATTTGGTTTTTCAGTCCATTATTAGCCATGCTAGTGTCTAAGCAGACACTGACTACTGATAGTTTGACCTGCATTGGGTGTAAAACAGGCAAATTGGTTGGCTGCATGATTGCTTTCCACCATGTATAACAAGAATAAAAGCCTGTTTCTTACAGAAAGTCTCCCACAGAGGCATCTCTACTGTTAGGCAGATAATCCTCATGTCTTTGCCAAATTCAAACAACATAACCTAGTCAATATAGTCCTGCAATAACAAATTTCGCAGATTAAAGCGGCAAAATAGTGATATATAAAGAAATGATTTGTTTTAATGGCAGTGTACAAGTTTTCTAAATTGGGCGTTCATGATCTCCCCCCTTCGTCTTGGTCTCCTGGTCCAAAAATCAATCGAAATGAGTTTTGCTGTTTCGGGTCAGTGCTATTGTCAATTTAAAAACAATCTTTCTTGGTAAATAATAAAATGCTAACCATTTTTATTATTATAAAAACAAAGGTAACTGAATGATATATTTTTTTTTTTTTTTTTAAAGTATCAGTGTCTTCTATAATGGTGAATTTTTAAAATGAATTTAGTCAAGTTTCACATTTAGTTAACCATTTTAAGATAAATACAAACATCTGAATTTTCACTAGTTGACCTTCTGTTGTTATTTCTTAAAACAAATTTTGTTTTATTTAATAGTATAGATTGTTTTGCTTGCATTTTAAGTTGAACTGGAAGTGGACAGAACAGCAAACCCAGTATTTTAAATTTACGAATTAGGGATTGCCAGTATTGCTAATTTGTCCTTGAAATTGTATAATTTTTAAATAAAAAAGGGATGTTCATTTTTCCAACTTTGGAATTGAACAAAAATGTTTCTTTTTTTTTTTTATATTTTATATCATCAAGTGTTCAGTTCATATTTGTTTTATAACTTGTAATACATTATTTTCGGAATTCAGAATGTTCACAGATTTCCGAGCACAAATCTAAATGGTTTTTATAGTTTTTCCATGTTTAACATTTCTCATGTTCCCCGTGATAAATGAACCTGTCGTCTCCAGAGGTTACCTTTAAACTATTTCTGCATCGTATATTATGGGGTATCATTGTGTTTTTAATTCATCTGAAGGTTTAATCCTAGTATCCGGTGCACACGGGATTTGGCTACTTTTGGCGACTATTGATGAGCAGTAAAAACGGGACATCTACGATGAGTAGTTAACGGGTCATTTAAAGAAAATATGTAGTTAAACTTAGTATATAGTATATATACTATGTGTATACACATTATGTATATGTATATACACACTAGTATATAGTATATATACTATGTGTGTATAGTATATATATAGACGTTCTTTGGATCATTTTTGGTGTTCACGATAATTTTTCAAAGTCGCGCCAAGGCTGCACCGTATACTAGGATTTTACCAACATGAAGTACCCTATGGTCATTGTAACAATTTGCTGTTGGTTATTCCTACTTGAAGGAATCATAAAGTCTCATGCTGACTCTTCTGTACTTACCTATTTTGGTACTGTTCTATTATCGGGTCCAGGTTCCAAAATTTATGTAGATTTACGTTATTTGATAACAATGATACATTAGAAGTTTGTGCTGAACATGCTGTGTAATAGAAGGTACAGATTGGCGGTGTAACGATATTGGCTTCAGTAACATCCATTTACAGGTATGTACATGATTGTGAAGTGGTTACGTGATTAAGACAGAATTAAGACAGAATACCTTTTAAACTACTACTACAGCTTTAAGGTTATTTTGTTAGCATTAGAATATTCGGTGCCTTCTAACTGTCTGCATCCATAGTCAATGATTGCCAGATTTTGTGAATTCGCAAAAAAAATTAATTATCTTTCTGGTTCTAGTATTCTTTGTCAATAAGTAAACAAGCTAAAAAAAATTGGTTGTCAAAATTTTTACTAATGATGGAATATTGTTCAATAGTGGTTAAATATAAACGTGGTAAATCCAAATGTATGTTATGCACATGTATGGCTTGGCTGTTGTGTGTTTCATTAATAATATGTCAAAAAACGGCAGTTCTGAGAATTATTAATTTGAGATGTGTAAAATCAAGTACTAAAAGTTAGTTTGTGTGTATTGAAGCCTTAATATTAGTATAGAAATTTTGTGATTTAGTCTGAAAAAGGTACTGGTTATTTTAGAAGGTAAGTGTTGATGTCTTTTCCTTATATTGATTTCTACTGTAAATGTTTTGGTTTACTTAAATTTTGAATGATATATAAATCTACAAAACTTGAATAGGGATATTTATAATTTTTTCATCATATTCCATAATTTTTCAATAACAAGTGTTTTTTTCTTTCTCAAGAAAAACACTTCTTTTCTTTGAATCCTCTGAGCTTTTTCCTCCTGTTCCTGCTTAGCTGTATTTATGGCCCGTCTTGATTAGTTTTATGTATAATTTTTTATTTTTGTGTAAGGTTTAGCTGATCTGGAAAGCATCTAGATATCCTGTAATTAAGATAACATTTCAGATAGGTATATATAAGATAAAAATACAAATCTAACATTTTAGATAAATGCATTTACAGATGAAGGTCATTAAAAAAGTAATTCAAAACCATCACTTAGTAATGCTGTAGTCTGTAGTTACTAAATTAGTTCCTCCTCAGTAGTTTTTTCGAAGTTCCTGTGCTTATAACACAAATTGGTCGTGTTATATTTATGCATTTACCAGAGAGAATGGCAAAAATTCTTAATTGCATTATGCTATTGCTTTTATTTCAACAACATAATAAGTTTTATTATTTGTAGTAATTACATTTTACTATTTTTTATACAACAAATATGTTTTATTTGGAATTTAAAGGTTTAAAGTAGGAACTGTTCTGTTATCAGGACTGGATTCGTAAGTGTATATATGCATGCATGTGTTTATGTATGCTTTTGTGTATGTAAACATGAATGTATGGGTGTATACAGAGACACAATGCATTTCTGAATCTGGTCCCGATAACAGAACATTACCTTAAAGTGTGGCATTTTAGCTAAACATGTAAATAATTTTAACTTCATAGAGAATTGTAATTTTTTTGAAAGCTTACTTAGTATTAGCATTGTGTCAGTCACTTTAAGGTGATTTTTCTTGTTAGCTTCCTGCTAATAATTTTTTATTTTTAGGTTTTCTAGTCTTACCTCATGTGCTACAATGTCACAGCAGTTCTGTCTAAAATGGAACAGTCATACCACAAACTTACTCTCAGTATTCAAGGGCTTCCAGTCATCCGAGACTTTGGTTGATGTTACATTGTCTTGTGAAGGCCGCAACATGAAGGCCCATAAACTTGTGCTGTCAGCATGCAGCCCATATTTTCAGAATTTATTTTCTGAAAATCCATGTAAACATCCAATTGTGATAATAAACGGTATGCGATTTACAGACATTAAAGCTATTCTCGATTTTATGTACAAAGGTGAAGTAAATGTTTCTCATGATGAACTATCAGCATTCTTAAAAGCAGCTGAAGCACTCAAAGTTAAAGGACTCACCGAAGTGTGTGGGGAAAATCAAGCATCAAAAGTGGCTCAGGTTGCTCCACAAGTAGCTGAAACAGTAGTGCCGCCACCTCCTCAAGCCCCTCCACGAGCGGACTCTCCGAACAAAAGGCGTAAAATACGCAAACGATCATTAAGTGACTCTAATAGAAGTGACGAAGGTGTGTCACGAAAAAGAGAACCATCTCCAGAAGTCCATGAACTTTCTGGTGATGGTTATACGGGTGATGCCAAACACGATGGACCAACAATAAACTCTTTACCCAGGGTGCCTCCAAATGCATTTTCTCGATCTCATCATTCATCTGCTGCTAGTATAGGGAGTGAGGCTGCCTCGGAAGATGATGACTATGAAATTGAGCCTTCCAAACTTTTAGAGCAAACTTTAACCACAGATAATGTAAGTAAATTTCTGTGATGAATACTTAGAATGGATAATTGTGAATTTTGTATGTTTTTTTGATTGGTACGACTTTCATAAAACTTGTTATTTGTGTGACGGATCTAGATAAAAAAAATTCAGAATTGTAGAAACTCAGGTGAATCATATTGCAAGTAGTTTTATGCAAAAATTAAAATATGCATTTATAGTTTTGTCTAATTTTTTATTGAAAATTAAAAAGTTTTAACTTTTAATTGAAAGCTGAAATAAGCGTTATTTGTATTTAAATAGATATATGTTCATTAACCAAATATTACATTGTGAATTTTTCGTTTTTAATTGATGAATATTTGAAGGAACATTGTGAACTTTTGAATATAATGGAAAATGGTATAATATTTTTGTCAATATTGAGCCCGATATTTGCTCCTTTGAATGCTCTGTTGTTTAAAGTTTTTAGTGCTTTGTTTCATATGCATTTAAAGAATGAAAAATTTACTGTCCACTTACCTGTATCTGCATTGCTAACTTAACATAGGATGAAGTTGATCACCTTGTTTTGTGTGTTCTTATATTTTTATGGCATTGTTTTTTGTTCTTATATTTTTTTATTGCATTTTGTGTATCATTTGTTTTAGAAACTTTTTGCAGCAGTATATTGATACCAGTATAAATCATGCATTATTTTTTATAGTCAAGATCTAAATCCTTAAGCTACAGTTGTTAACTGCTTGCTCTTGAGTAATTGTTAAAATGTAAAATTTATAGATTTCCTATTATGTGTATAAGAAGCTTATTTAGAGAATCCTTTTTTCTCTCAAATATTAAGGTAAAATTTTAGGAAAAGTATTCTTTTGCTGTGTTTTTAAAGTGAAATGTGAATTTAACTAAGCAATAAGACAACTTGCTTTCAGGTTCCTTCCAATAATCAATTAAGTAGTGCATTAGTTCCAGTTTCATCTGAAAGTGTTAGAGGTTTACAACAGAAAACAAGTACGCCTAATTTAGAGTCTTCTGATATGCAGGGACCTGATAGTCCGCCAGGTAAGAATTTTCAATGAAGCTAAATTAAAAATTTGATTCAAATTTTTTTTTAATTTGTAGGTTTTCTGCATTTTTATAATAAAAAAATATAATTTAACTTTAGAAAAATCAAATTAGTTATGTAATTTTCAATATTTTTTGAAGTTAATGTGTTTGCAAGCAGTAATGTCAGTTGCAGTTGAGTATATTTATTTTAAAGGTACTTATTCAGGAAAAATTTAATTAAATTGGCGAGGTGTGAGTGTTAATGCCAGTTTGTGTGTTTAAAATGCTTGTTACTTGGCTAATTTTTTTAATGTATTTTATCGTGAAATTAAGTTGGAGTAAATAGATTTCTTGAGCGAGTCAGAAAAAATATGGGAAAAGTAAAATACTGCCCCAACATTGCGTCTTTGATTATGAAAGTAATGCAAGATGAGCTCTTAAAAAGGGAATGTTTGCATTATCCAGTAGTGGTTAAAAAATGACGCTTGCAAAAGCATGCAGTTTTTAAAATATTTTTTAATGTTTTCAGGGAATTCTACAATAGAAAAAAAATCATTTAGTTACTACTACTTGTAATACATATAGCTACTACTACATAATTTTAAGTATATAACAGACATTCTTTTTGATGTTGAAACAGGCAGGCATCTGACTTCTTAAGACTGGCTTGGTGGATATAAAGTGGGAACAGTGAGATCATCTCACACACTTGAGTTATTTCAAGCTCTGACAGTTAAATATTTTCCTGCCTAACTAGTACATCATTTTCCTTCCTTTGTCTGAAAGAGTTCTTATATATTTTTGTTATGTCTAAATTTAGGAGTTAAACCTCTCAAATTCCTGTTGTTTTACTTATTATCTATAATTTTTCCTGCTGTTTAGGATCTTTTGTTGTGAGCATTTGTTTAGTTTTGATTGATTGGTGGACTACCTGTGAAACATAAGGGCTATTCCTGTTAGCTATGATGTCATTGGGTTCTAAATCTATTGGAAATGCTAAAAGAACCATTATTGATCTCTCATAATTGAATGTTTTCAAATTATAAGGTGTCATGTAGACAGAATCAAAATCAAGTGAATTTACCACAGATAAGAAATTGCATCATTGTTGAAAACCGTCATTTTTTAGTAGTCTAAAAAAAGAAGTCTTAAAAAATGCTAACCTTATAAATTATTTGAGTCATTTATTTAAGAGTAATTAGATTATTTAACCATCAGTTCTACCGATCTCCTGACATGCCTGAAAATGAATTCGTAACTGTCTGTGGGGCTTAGCTAGTGGTATATGCTATTTCCAGGAAATTCCTGAAGGAAAGAAAAAATAAGGTCTTTATTGTTACAAGACTAAAATATTATTAGAATTGTTACAGTAGTAAGGAGTGTCATATATTTAAAGGGTCATTCTTGAATAAATAAATATATAATATTAGCTTTATGCAATTTTTCAGACATAAAACCTATGATACAGTTTGACGACTCAGCATTATCATCTGGGGCAGGCCCTTCAGACGGAGCTTTGGTATATAGTGACCAATCACTTTCCCAGCCTGGACCAAGCAATTATCAGGATGGTGCATTAATGTTACATGATAACTCACAATCTCAGGGTATAATGTCTTTCCATTATATTTAGAAGTTCATTGTTTGTGAGTGAGTATGTGGCAAGTGATGAACTTTGAGAAGCAAATTTTATTAGTGAAATTTTTTATCTGTCGATATTTCTATTTAAAATTCCTGTGTGGTTTCTCAGAGTTCTGAAGCTTTGATTTGCAAAACTTCATGTAATGATTGAAGAAAAATTTCATGGAAGATATGTATCTGTGTTTAAAAATAATGTATTTACTGTTAAAATGCAGGCAGAAAGCAAGCTACCATTTTCTTTAAACTTTACAAGGAGTTTTGCTTGAATGTTTTACTTTATATGTAAGTTAAGTAGTAATTTAGGTTAAGTAGTTTTTAGATTTAATTAATAGTATCTTAGGTTTATTTAGCTGTAGGCTTAGGATAAGTTAGATTAATTATTTCCTAGTTTAATGTCTTATAAGTTAAAATTAGTATTAGGAGTTTGCATGACATGTTTTGTTTTGTTAATGTGCTAAAAATGTGTAAAATGAAACTTGAATGCAACCTGCTGGGAAGTTTTAACATCCATCACACCTGCTTCTGCAAGTTGCTGTGGAAGGAAGAATTGCTGATCCAGCTGGAGAGTGTGAGTCTTCTTTATGTGGTATTTCATCCTAAAAATTAGATTAATTATGGTAAGTATACTTTTATGTATATTACAGTGGATGTATCTGTGTTGTATATCTATATAAATAAGGTAGTATTCTGGTAAGCTTTTCATTAAGTTTTGTGGAAAAATGTGTGAAGTGTTCTTTTTCAGTTTGCAAGAAATATGTTCTTCAAGAAGATTCTATTTAGTAGAAGAGCCTGTCAGCAGAAAAAGGCGACTTGAAATGTTTTATCAGATTTTTTTTTTTCCAGGATCTGTAATGTAAACCATACGTTTGTATGGTAGGAGAAATGGATTGTAAAAATTTTTGTTAATGCAAAACTGTCAATTGTTAACCTGTTACTTGGAAGAAATAGATGTGAAAATATGTAAAGGAAATGTGATTAAAATTTTATCTGAAAGAAATTATTAACTATGTTTCTCTTTCAAAACTTTGTTCTTTTTTCATTCATTTACAATTCAATTTTTATTCATTACATTGAATCATTGAGATTTTGCTTTTGATAAAATATCATTTTCTGATAGTACAGAAGAGTTTAAAAAGATATTTAAATATTCTTGTGTAATTTGATAGCTTTCCATACGTCTAACCAGTTTACTGTGAAAGAACCTTAAGCTTCCCCATAATTTTTTTTTTTTTTTTTTTTGATAAGGCTGAGTGTAAGTGATGAAGATGACCATGAAAGATTATTTTACTTGGAATGTTAATGATACTAAAATTAAATTTTACTTTTTGCATGAAATTTGTCTTACCTTTTGCACTAATATGAATGAAGGGGACTTAATGAAGTATTAAAAAATGCCATCTTTTCCCAAAAATAAAAGCTTATTACATTATTTATATAAGTCATTTTTTAATGGATAGATAATATATGTATACAGTGTTACAATTAGTAATCGTAGTTGACCTGTAATAGGCACCAGGGTGTGGCTTCATCAATATTGCTCCTGTTCATAAATTTTTTAATCACGAAAGATTTAGTTTTTATAAGCAGCAACTTTCTATTCATTGGTAAAGAAAATAATGGCATGCTTGTATTTTTAGGGAAAATTTTATAGGATTGGTTACCATAAACCATCTGATTATGTAAGGTATATACAAGTTCTAATGATTTTTAATAGATACAACAAACTGCTCATGTAAAAAAAGGGTGTTTGAGAAAATCAAAAGTCTTTGAGAGGTATGTTTACGACATCAGTTTTAATAAGCTTCATTCAGATATATACTGATTTTTTTTATCCATTAGAAGTTTGTAGGTATTTCCGAGATTCGTTTGTAGGTAGGTATTTATTCCATGTGTATTTGGACATCGCTTGTGAATGTGCAGAAACTACTTGCCAAAGCCATGAGAAATATCTCAAGTGTAACCATACTAATTTTTAGATGCCATTGTTAGAAAAATAAACCATTGTCCTTAATATTATGCTTCAAAGGAATGAATGAAATAGTTTTTTTATGTGTGCATGAATTTAATTATTTTATTAGCTGATATTTGGTATTTAACACATTTACTGCCAAGCATATTGTAGACAAATTTATTCATGCTCCTATGGGATTCCAGGAAAAAAATTAATGTTAAAATATCCGGGCAAATGGGCTGGCTGCATGTGCATTTTTGTGGATTTTCCTATGTTAGCAATTCTCAGCTGGTGGTACGTACGAAAAAAATATGTGGTATGCAAAGAAAATATTTTTAATTATTAAATTCAAAAGTTAAGAACCCAACGTCCTATTAATTTTTTTCACCATCATTCTTAAATTTGAGTGATTTGAACTTTGTTCAAGGTCAATAGCTATTAATAGACTAAGCAAAATAATCGGTTTTTATTTTCACATATATAAGCGATATATGTAACAAAATTTATCATAAATGATGTTTTAAATAATTAAATATCATATTTTGTGAATGTCTTCACAGAACAACTGGAAATAAAATTTTCAAAGTAATTCACAATTTTATGTCTGAGAATGATTATCTTTGCAATAAATGCATTGTCATGCGGTGACTGGGTTCTGGTTTTAACCTGGAAACATTCTGGTGTTATTTTTCTCTAAAGTCTCGCCTTGAAACTACTGCTCCATTCATTTTGAAGCTTTTAGTAGTCAAAACAGTTCACAAAAATCTGAAAATTGTTTTGAATTAAGCTGTGAAAATTGAATTTATTAAAAGCTGAGCTTTAAATTGAAGACTACGTTTGATTTTATGCTAAGAAATGGGCAGTGAGCATGAAACACTTTTGTTTGTATTCTGAAGTAAAAATGTTTATCTAGAGGCAAAGTTTTAGTCTTTGAAGTTTGATCAGAAATTCAAATTTTGCTCTGTGAATCAAACTTTGAATTGCAAAAATGTTTATTTAATGAATTATAGTTGGCATATTTAGCTGATATTTTTGGAAAGTCGAATTAAATTTGGCATCACAAGGACATTAATTTGTTTACCATTGAATAATCAAAGAATTGTATTATATTTAAGCTTTTGCAACTTTAAGAAAGTTTTCTGACCAAAAATTATTTGAAAATCAAAGAACTAGCATCCAGCATTAAAAATCAAATGTTTTTAATTGATAAATAATTTCAACATCAATTTTCCGGAGGATTATGAAAAAGAAAATTGGATTAAAAGTCCATTTTGTTCAAATGTACTTGAAATTTATCTTGTGAAAAAAATTAACAGTTGATGAAAATTTCCTGTGAATGAACTCTAAATGAACTAAAGATTTCAAAAATAGCACGCTTGTTAACTTTTGGCTGACATCCCCCCCCCCAAAAAAAAATCAAAGGCTTTGCCTTTTTGCACAACCTATCTGTGTGGAAAAGGTTCACACAAATATTAAATTTTCCATGGTATATTTGAAAAATAAATACAGAACAACATTAAAAGTGGATCTTAATTTACAGAACATTAAAAGTAGATCTTAATTTATGGTTAAAACAAATAAGACAAATTGGTCTCTTAAACAGACCCAAATTTCACACTAAAAAATGTAACTTAAATAATTAAATGCTAACCAATTTTCAACCCAATATTTTTTGTGTACAAATAGTCAGTAGGTTGCAAATGACAAAGTATATATATTTTTTAATATTTGTATTGGGAAACTAAAAACTTATTGAAAATGAAGTGATGGTACTGAAGATTTTCATTTTTGGATTAGGTGGTAGGTGTTGGTCAAAAGATTGAGAACTGCTGTTCTATGCTTGAAAGATGAGAACTGCTAACATCTATACAAGCTTGTCCTCAGAAAGCCCTCCACAAGGCATTTCTTTTCCTTAGGCAGATAGCCCTAATGTGCTTTTCACTAAACTAACTTATGTAGGGCAGCATGAAATGTTGCAAAGTTATGCAGATAATCTAATGTATGTTGGGTAAAAATTTGCATAACCAGACACAAAGTATATATTCTGTTGCTATATCAGTCTTGACTATTGCGTGCTATGCTTAAGCAGTCACTACTGTATATCATGTTTATATTCTGTTTACTGAACTTTTTACTTGGAGGTACTTAAGATAAGAGTCGAAAGTCTTGCAAATAGGTATGGAAACCCTTGGACTCATCTGGGATTTCTTCAGAATGGGAGAACTGAGCAAAGTTGAACTGTTACCTATAAGGGTGCCTGTGCCAATGGCAGCTCTGTACTACTTGAAAGGATAAAATTAATGGAGTGTTTTGATATAACTGTCATAGGAGATGTCATATCAAGTCTATCTGTAAATTACTATTAAAGTATTTGTTCAGTAAATGCAAGTATAGCAGTGCTAATGTAATTTATAATTAAGCTTTCATTTTAACTTATGTCGAGAACTGTAACAGATACTGATGGCTGACATGGTAGTGAATGTGTTAAAAACCATTAACTTAAGTTATTTTGCGAAGTTGTATGGCTGTACGAGTGTTTTTGAAATAAATATAAATTTCTTAATAGACCTATTTGAAACCAAGTTCAGAAAACAATGAATGGGTAGGTTTGATGTGGAAAGTTAGCTTTTCGTTTCCTGAATGAGAAGATGCTTTTAATCATTGAAATTCTTTTTTGTTCATATATCAGATCTTGTGACTTGGTTAATTTTTCATTTCAATTCTTTTCTTTTATCAGATCTTGTGACTTGGTTAATTTTTCTGAAATTACTTTTCATATAATTTGAAAGGGAACAAATATTAGTTTGCTTTTTCTTTATTGAACAGAGAAAGAAGATACTGTGATAGGAAGACGAATTGAATTAATGACATCAAGCAAAGGAAAGCCAATATCTCTCGTTGGTGGATATAAGTATCGAGTGCATCACTCTTTAACAAATGGAAGTATTCGTTGGGTTTGTCTAAGAGACAGGGTAAAATGCCCTGGTAGAATGCTGACCAAAGATAATATTGTGATAGCAGTTTCTAAACATGTATGTAAACGTAATGATGAGGCAGAAATAGAAATTTCCAGATGTATAGCCAATTTGAAAAAAAGAGCTGCAGAAGAAACAACCTCTATTTTCGCTATTTATAAACAAGAAATGCAGTCTCTTTTTGATAAAGGTTATGAGGTCCTAGCAGCAGTTCCATCATTTGCGAGTGTAAAATCAACTATGTACAGAATTAGAAAAAATAAAATTGGGAAGAAAGTAACAGATAGCGTAGGTGAATCTGTTACAGATGAATCTCCACTTGGCTTGCCAGGAAGAGTAATTGAAATAAAGACAGAATGAACTGAATCTTCCTGTGTCTTTTTAGAAAATCTTGTGAGGGAGGCACTAACATCAGAATCTTAATTTAATCACAACAGGGAAAAGTAATAAGATGCAACGAAAACACTTATTTGATGTAATAAATTATATTCAAAGACAGATTAGTGAAATCATTGTTTAACATGAGTGAAGAATTACATTAGTTACGGAATTTAATGAGTAGCTGACTTTAAACTGTTATTTTTGTACGTGTTAAAAGTTAAAGCATAATAAACATTTAAGAGCTGTGCCTTTGGATTTTTTTTTTTTTTTTTTTTTTTTTTTTTTTTTGTATATTGAATAGATGAGTGAACTATTTTGTCAAAGTATTACCAGTGCCATAATATTTCTCAATATTAACATCTTAAGGGGACATGTTATGTATGTGTAGAAGAAATTATGCCCTCGGTGATGAATAGAATGAATACACTCGTAAAGGAAGGTGCTAAATGATGAATGCTTGGAAAAACTAGTTTGTTTTGGTGAAAATTTTAATTTCCTGAATGCACCTTTTGTGAATTTAAGATGAAGGTAGAGAAATGTAATGAAATTTTGACATGAAATGTATCATCCTGTAATCAAAATGAATACTTGCTGGAATGAATAATAAATGTATTTACTTTAGCCTGTATTTCTTGTTAATTATTAAAAATTGACATGACATTACTGCAGTGCAGTCTGAACTGCATTATGTAT